TCCGAGCTCCGTCACCGAACGAAGATCAGGGATTACGCCAAGAAATCGAAGATCAGGTGGGCCGGACACGTTATGCGATATAGTGATGACCGTTGGACCAGGGCGGTTACTGACTGGATCCCTCGGGACATCAAACGAACTCCAGGAAGGCCGCCAACGAGATGGTCAGACTTCTTCACGAAAGCTCTGAACGAAAGGAATGTTGAACCTCGTGTCCCTGAAGCGAGAGCGATTCACTGGACCACTCTGGCTCGTGACAGGGACGAATGGAGACGTTACTGGCGCCCGCTCGAGGAAGTCGATGATCAACGGGACGACAGGTGATACAGGTGATGTCGAACAAACTCATGCAAGTAAGCGCCGAACATGAGGGTACGATTAATGGTTCAAACAGTCTTCCGCTAAGGTCGATTTCTGATCCAAGCATTTTTTTGGCAAGAACAGTTTGGTAGAATTTCGATAACCTGAAAAGTTATGTTGTGTTAAACAGGATCAGTATGTTGTGTTAAACAGGATCAGAGCCCTAGTCACCCCCGTACTTCTGCATATTAAACCGTGAGACTCTCGTCTAATGAAAGACCACAGCAACAAGAACAATGAACGCAACTTTATTTAGAAATAAAACAACATTACTACATCAACAATCATTACAGTAAGCCATATTGGTATGTTACCCGTACGTTGTAGTATGCACATCTGATCTTAACAAAGCGGGATGTTTCGATGCAGATTTTCGGAAGATCAATATTAATTTTCGATGAGAAAGAAAGCTTACAGGCTATGGGGGAAGTTTTCGAGATTACCGTTTTGATAGGGTTTGATGTTACAAAATAACTCCGAAGTTCCTTGCCAAGAACGGGTTTTCTTCTGGGTATTATATACAATGTAGTAAGTATGCGCAGGGTGTCTTCTTTCCTATAGCCTGTTTGTAGATTTAAAATCATTAATAATTGTAAACCCCGATAATTTTTACCCGTCAGTCAAGCAAGCAAAATCAGCCTGAGAATCTGTCAGTGATTAGGTTCTTTTACACACTTCAATGGCAGCGAGGTCTTTCAGAGCTCAAGGGAGACAAGCTCTTCGGTTTCCAGGGCATGCGAGTGGGTAAACGATAGATCAACTATACCGCAGATAGAAAATACAATGCAAACACACATTTTGTAAAAGTTAATTCCACCGTAGCTAATTAACCGTATTAATATGCAATCCAACCTAATTGAGTTGCATTATCACATTCGTTGATTTCTCTGATTGTAGAGAGTTGAGGAGTCAGTGGCGTTCTCTGCTCAGATAGTACCACCAGTAGAACACTGAAAAGGAATACTCACCACAAAGCAGTAGTTACAAACACCAATATTTCAATGCAGAAATATTGAGATTGGTGATCTGACTTCGCTTCATACTTCTACCCCCTTCCCCATAACCACCATTTCCAGTGGTCCGTCGCGTAAACCGTAATGATGACCCAAAAAGATTAACTCTCTACCTAGACTGGTTTAAATCGTTTTTCTACTGCAGTCGACTTATTTAGTTTTACTTCTTCAAACAACAGCAGACAACCACACACAGCTTTCGACTTCCCTCAAATCTGTCAGATCAGGGACGATAGAACCCTTAAAACCCTAGAATCCTCCACATTAGCTTCGATTTTGATAAGTAAACTTTGCTCACTAAAAACTGAACTCCATTTTTTTATGGCAGTGCCACTTATCAGAGAGACTCCCACATCATATAACCGCTGGCTTTATAAAAGCGGTCCGCCTATGTTCCCTACCGTTAACTGCTCGCTCGAAAAATAAGTGATGGATCTGGAGTAAGAGTGTCGAAAGTACTTATTAGGCCGCGATTGTCTAAATTGAATGGTGCTCAGGGCCATGAATGGTCAATGGGAGCTTCACTGACCATCATTCATGGCCAAGGGCTTCATGGCGTANAGTCAGACTCTTCAACGTCGTGAAAACTCGCCCGTCTTTGGGTGTGGTTGTCGACGAGAACGCTCTTTGAACCCATGCTGCGCCCTATCTAGACTATTTTTCAGCCCGACACCTGCTCATGACGTACCTACAAACCTTAATTCTATCTACCTGCAAGCTTGGGAACTATTTTAATCGCGAGCTGTGCTTTTGAGAATAAAACGGTAACATCAATGTTCCTAAGATGTCCCTGACGAACAGTGAGTTCACTCACCATTGAAAGCCGCAAACATCGCCGGAAATGCTTTGGCAGCCATAGCATCAACTCTGGCACCCATGTCGATATCTGCATGTGACGGATACTCGCCATTAAATTCCGACATGCCATTCACATAGCAACTTCCATTGCCGCCACTGTAGCTCAGTACCATTGAGGAAACGTGAGAGGAAAAAAGAAGAGCACACTTCTAATACGGGTTGGATAAATCATGTACTTACTTCATATGATACCAAGCCTCATCTCCATTGTTGTTCACCGGATACCGTACGCCTCTCATGGATCCGCTTGATTTTTGTCTGGAAACGGAATTTTTAGAGGCCATGTTTCCCTTTCTCGCATGTCCTCTGGTGGTCTCCTTCATTCATTTCCGATGTATGCAATCATGAATTCATAATGTGCATATTATAGTACATGTGTACGTATATTCCTTTGGTTTTGTTGAGTGTTTTTTACAACCGCGAGGCCTGGAACTCTACGAGCGTCTAGAGCTAATCAGATCAAGTGCGCACCTTTTGATCAGGCTCTGCGATCGCTGATATCGGAGCCTTTTAGATCTCCGTCTGATTTCCGCCATTTTGTCGACAAACCCCACCACTGCCAACTCGACTAAGGAGAAGAAAATGAATGCCACACACACGAAGAACCATAAATCAATAGCCTGTAAATAGTAATGGTTATCCAGCTTACTCAAAATCCTTCAGCTTTCGCTATACATACCTTTACAAATGAGACCCGTGGCAAGTTTTTCACAATGTTTCCGAATTGGAAAGTCAACGCCATCAGGGACGAAACACCGAGAGTGATCCGAGCCGGAAGTGCTCGGGTATCGATCCAAAAGGCGATCCACGAAATGAATACTGACAGATATGTAGGCAGGTACATTTGCAGGACGTAGTAGCCATAGAGACGCTTGAACCTGCAAACGATCGGATTTCAATAAAAATTCGGCTGGATCTTGATAATTGTAGGAAAGTGAGGTTTGACCAGTACGAACTTATTTATGAACACGCCCTCTTGACACTCGCATTTATGCACGTGGAGCGCAGAAAGTTCCCGACTGCTTAGAGGGTTAAACAAGATTCACCGAAAAGGAGAGGAAAATGTGTGTCAAAGAGAAAGGCACAACCAGCCATGACAAATACACCTTCATCACAATAAGAAAAAAACTGTTTCAACGGCCCTGTATTAGCAAACTCACTGGAACTTGTTGGCCCGACCTTCTTGTTCAATCATGAACAGGCGAATTGAGCAAGAGTCGGGCAGCTAACAGACCGGTGATCTGGGAGCAGAGCTCAGACTTTTTAATATCTTCTAATTACGCACGAACACAATCTTTTTCCCCCTTGATAGGACAGTTCCAAATGCACGCGTGCTTTTCCCTTTAAATGGCGCGGAAATGCTCCTCAAGAAAAAGGCTTGCTACTCCGAACCTTGATTCGACCCACTCATTGACACGACTTTTTTCCAACCAACTTCGGGAATGTGTGACACGTTGGTCTATAACAACAAGATGTGCCGCTTCTTTTTCGTGTTGCGGACTGAATGTGATGGCCGAAATCTGTCAAACAACCTGAACTCTATACTGCGAGTTCAGCTCCTCTTTCTTTGTGCTATTCAGACCTCAGGTCCTACGGTTGTGTTGAAGGCCGACAGTCGGCATGACAAAGTTCGTACTTGACTCCCTATGGAAGAAGTCGGTAAGTGAAGAGATGAGCATGCTTTGATATCCCGAAGCAAGAGAAATCTAATGTGTTCTATTCTTCGTTATATTTTGCAAAAAGTTATCTTCGAAAAAGGGATGAAGGTCTGGAATACAAGAATTTCTAGATAAGTCTAATTTAGCTTGCTCTCTCTCAGATGTTATAGCATATTGTTGCTCCTGAAGTATGAGAGAATTTTTGAGAATTGCAGAAGTGAACGTGAAAATATGTGAACAAGAACGTAGGCGTATGCATGAGACCTCAAACCAACGCATAAACCCCTACCCATTGCTACCTATGTCATCTGAATCACCTGCCATCCCGCTCATCACTGACCTTCTCGAGCGGAAAGTCTCCAGCGTCCCTGTCACGTCTAGTACACACTTCTTTTCACGAAGGCTCTGAATGAAGCGTTCCTTTTGTTAAGAATCTAACGATTTTAGGACAGCTATCCTGGTGTTCGTTTGACATTCCGTGGGATCCATTCAGTGAACTGGTCCAACGGTAATCAAGAGATCGTGACAACAACAATTCCAGGCAACAGTGCAGCAGTGGTGTTAATACACACGCTCTTGTTATTCATGCACTCGATACTTATCAGGAAAGCATCAGGCACTGTGTAGTACATTTAAGTGATGCCAATTTGTACAGATACTATCCATAATTTGTGTACGTCATGGGTGTCTATTCGCCAACATAAAAGCCCCAGCAGGACAAGGCTGGCGATCCTTGATTCCGATCATTTATCCTGATGCTCTTTTTCCTTTCATTTTCGTCCCTACGATTTAGATTGTTCTCGTGGAACCCGTATGGTGATTTGATGTGAAAGTCACAGCCTCCATCAAATCCCTCCTGTTCTAAGCGAGTGACAAGCGCTTCATAACTAATCTGCTATGAGGACGAGCGCCGATGACGAGGAGTGACAAGAATTCAAAACATTGGGACATCAAATATCTGTTTTGAACGGCAAACAGCAACAGCACGAAAGCTCAAATTATGTTTTAGCAAACAATGCTGAACCTGATTGGGTTTTCAGCTAAAGTTCAAGGAGCACTTTGGAGTGCAACAGCTTCTTAATGTACAGCTGATGAAATGAGACTTTAATGAAACTTCTGAGAATAGATGAACGCATACAAGAACAGACGGACAGTTGTACTGGTCAATTCACTGACTTCATTGAACCTGACTTCAGTTTTTTCACTAGTTCACTACAGCTACTTTCACACAAAGCGATGTAAAAGGTTGCTGATTCGCTTGAGATTGATGTGTGGCCCTTCGTATTATTGAATCTTAATGAACAGCTTTAATATGAAAGAAAACTAGATGGATTTAGGGAATGAAACAATTCCAATCATAAGGATCTGAAGCGAATTCTCATTAGAACAAAGACTTTCGGAAATCTGTTTTCTTATGCTACAGAAGCCTCGGGCACATGAGAAACACCACTTCATTCATGGTTTCAGAGCGCATTGGGTACTTCCATTTCTTAGATGCAGAGTAGAAAACAAGATTGTAAAAAGGGAGCCTCAGAATCAGAATTCAGAGTTCTTATTTTAATGGGTAATCTTCCCTTGAACTAAAGTGAAAAGTGAACTTCATAACAGCCATCAGGTACGATTCGCAAGTTAGCGAGCCTGTAAAAGCGAAAAGAAGAACCAAGAACAGATTAAAGATTTTGTGACCCCAACATCAACGATTAACTTACCTGAAGGTAACCTTGAGCTGATCCCACATTCCGGCTGTGTACTCGTTCACGACTTTTCCCCATGTGACATTGTAAAATTGGAAATCCGGCAATCGAAAATCTTCTGACGGCGGCATCGTCACAGGGGCCCATTCCTGCCAATTCAATCGCACCTATAGAGAGAACTTTTCGTTCACCACATTTAGTTACTATGATAATTTTTAAAAACTTTATCATTGTTATGCTGATATAGCCATCTTTTAATATTTCTGGTATAGGAGTGGGATGAGCTTATTGACTTCAAAGAGTCATCACTAGAAAAGGATGAAGCGTTTTCCAAGGATGGGTCGTTTGCTTGATGTGGAGGGACCTCCGAACAATCCTACTATACATAATGCGCTGTGTGTGTGGCGGAAAGCCGTAACTATTTTTTGCTCAGACCTTGGGGTTTGTAGCAAAAAGGGATCACCGACAAAGGTGGCCAAACTGGACTCCACATTCAGAGGGTGGGGGCGGGTGTGTGAATGATTTGCTAGAACTCGTAATTATCCTCTTCTGTACCAGAGTGTCCAAATTCGGAAAGAATGTGGGATACAGTAAAATTAAAACAAGAGAAAGAGGATAGCCCAGCGCGATCTGAGCGTTCCCAGGGGTTAATAAAGGGACGTAAGCGGTATTCTTTTGAGCATGAAGAGAAGGCGATTAGGATAGGTTCATTGTAATCGCATAACAAACCTACTGCACTACTGCGCTGTGTGACCCTCGTCGAGTACGCTACCGTCAGAATAGTGCAGATATAGCTACCAAATCGGGCCCAATTGTATGAGAATCTGACGTTTTGAGAGCTTTTCGCAGCAAGACAGCGAGTAGAAGTGCGAAAGTTTGCTTTTTCATGATCCTTTCGTCTTCACTGAGAGACCGACCAAAATTTTCAATCATTTCCATGAATATCGTTTAGAATGAAAGGATTTTTCTTTAATCATTCTGCAAATACTATGATTTTGTGCCACCCATCACAGGTGAACATTTAAGCAAAAGAAAGTATCCCACGGTAGTGGAAAGCTATTGATCAATTCAAGAAGTCGAACTGATCCAACACAGCAACCGTCTCGGAAGATGAAAGTTTTTGTCGTTATTCGTTCCCGACGTTCGATTCGATTTTTGGGGTGCGCCCCGCAATAGACAACCATTTGTAATCGCGGTGGCGGTTTAAATGTGAATTGGCCTATATAATGACATACAGTGGCAAAACAATGTACAAGTCACGCTTAATTTCGAGCGAGTCTGTTAGGAATAAGCCAACCCCGAAGAAAGGAAACTTATTCCGCCTGGGCGAGAATCGGTGCAGAGTTCGATCCCCGAATTCATCTTCGGTGAAATGGTACAGTGATAGGCATCAGCGTCTCTCACTGCGATCACAATGAGATAAAGTCCAACAAAAGGCAAGGAAAATAAAATTTAGTGGAAACGACAGAGAAAGATCACGAGAACGCACCTCTGCTATGTTGTACGAATAAGATTCGAATACGAGGGTACACTCCTGTGCGTCTATAGGGAATCGCGACAATTCGAAACTGCACGGAGCCGACACCTGCACCCGGTAATTCAACCATACAGTACCTAAATAAACGCCGTAGATGTTGAAGTCAATACCAGTATTCCTTGAGTGTTTATTTTGCATTCTAAGCTGTCTAGGCATACTGTTGGACACTTGCGCAGACGATCTTTGCGAAATAAGTGTATGGTGTGCAGCAGTTACTTCTATTCCAAAAAAGGGTGTGCAGCTCCACCATTGCAACGTCCATTGGAGACATTCTGTGGAACTTTGGTAATGTTTGCGTAGTTCGACGTTCTCACATTATGATGAGTAAATTCGTACCCTTGAAAAACAACTAATTACAGGGATATTTGCGTGGCCTCCAATACGCCCTATCTAGGCCGTTAGCCCACCCAACAGCAGCCATGTGTTATTATTGGGGACCACAGATGCATTTTAGCTGGAGATCACAGAAACCATTTTTATCGTAAACTGGGCCTTCAAGCAAACCGCTGATAACGCTTTCAAAGTTCTATTTTACAGAGAGCGAAAACGATTTGTGGCAGAACAGTTATTATTACCGAAAGAATTGAGTCGAAGTCATGATGAAAGAATGGGAAATCTACGGACTTTTGTTCATTCGATTTCACAGGTTCTTCACAACGCTTTTTCTGCAAAGCTGACGAGGTGTTTGGGAGCTAATAAAATTGTACTTTCTAGTGTGTACCATCTTGCGAAAAAGAACAGCTGGATTTTGCAATGATGGACGATTTTGCTCTTGTAACATCTATTGGACTAGATCATGGAGAATTTTCGGGGAGTTGTGCAGTAGTTGACATTGTGTTTCGCATGGTAATGGAGTGCGGGGTCTTGAACCTGCGGGTTCTTCTCTGCTCCAGGGGACCATCAAGATAACCTGACATGCATCTTTCTTTTGACTATGGTGGCTTCAAGAAAAAAAAGAGTCAAACTCAAAGCCTATTAAGGAATAACCAATACTTTTGAGCTTTAGGAACTATTCGACAAAGTTGTTGTCCTCATATGTAATGTATTCAACAAAGAGCAGTATTCACGAATCCAAGCTTCACTCCCGCGCTTCTTAGTTTTTACTTCAACAAATTGCAATCTATTCAACAATCTATAAAAATCTCACCATTAGGATATATGATGAGCAAGATATTAGAAGCTGGTGAACGATGAACTTGAGTACTTTTGCTGTTCACGAAGCAAACATTTGGTGTCCACAAACGTTCACTCACGTAACTGTCCAATGAGAGGTTGGACTTGCAGGAAATATTCCTGAAACTCGTCTTTTTCAAATGATTATCTAGAGTGCTATCTAAAGCTTTCTGTTCATCAATTGCTCTCATCTATAATAAGCTCTGCAGACAAGGAATCAACAAAGTTTGCCTGCTCATCCACCCCAACCCTGCGCCTGGGTAAATATTAGTTGAGTCATAAGTCCTCGGGCAAAATGATAGCGATGACTTCTAGAGAACATAACTCGAGAAAGAGGAGACGAAAATGGGAGCGCTTGGCATTATTAGATTGAGTATGGGAAGCTCATCAAAGCGTTCTAACAAAACACACCTGACTGTTTCCTTTCCTGCAACCGCGCCCCATGATTTCGACCCGTCGCAACTCCACCTCGGCAACACCATCCTATTTCTTTTTTTATTTGGCCAACGACCCGCGGAGATCGATAGACGTATTAAGTTTACAAGTGGGTGCTCCTGCTAGATGCACAATTCACAAGTGGCACACGAGGTTCACGTCGGACGACCATTCCATCGAGAATGAGGACCGTCCGGGACGCTCAATGGAGTTGGATTTGGAGGTGCTGCGGAGCTAGGTGGAAGCCGATCCGTATCAAACTACTCGTGGACTGGCAGTCACCCTTGGGGAGTCAGTCCACAATTACTCGTGGATTGAAGTGAATCGGCAAGGTGCGAAAGCTGGGTCGATGGATGCCTCATGCTTTGAAGCAGTATGACATGGATTTTCGCGCCGACATGGTAGTTTCTCTCCTCACGCTCAGGCGCAGGAGATGGTCAGGTGTACACTTCAGTATGTATTCGGAAGAGCTTTTCATACTCTATCTAACGATGCCTCGCCCGTCCATTTTCGTCACCTCTTTCCCGAGTTATGATCTCTAGAAGTCATCACTATCACTTTGTCCGACGACTTATGACTCAACCTAATACAACGCTGCTTTCAACTATTGTCATCCAATGTTCAACGGTCCTCTTATGATGACCAACGCCTTTGCCTTTCGGAGCACTGCTCTTCTCAGAGCTTCAAGTGATGGGCTTGTATAAAATCGATGTAAATATCTCGCTAATTTCAAAAGAAATTATTAAGCTCTTTATTCATATAGCACTTATGGAATCAGTGCGTTGGGGAGGAACATATGGTATTTGCTCTACAAGAGAAGAACATATTAAAACTTCTACTCTAGTCTGTCCATGCTCCAGACTCTTTACTACCGCCTAAAATACTTATGTGAATCATCTCGTACTTCAACTTCTACTTGTGGGGAACTCATATTCTCAAGCGAATAATAATGTAGAATATCTGAAGAATATTTCCATGGCAATCGGTAATCTTTGAATTCATTTTCACGAGGTTTTATGGCAATATCAACGAAAAAGGAAGAATGAGGCCAAGTAGAAACGCTCTATGTACCTGTACTGTAATCGAGGATCTTCCCAGACCTGACTGAACCATACATCTGCAACGAATGAGCTGGAGATTTCCGATATGGACGAGATGTCCTAAAATTAGTTCTCAGTCAGGTTTCCGCCTTTGCGATTCCAATTTCAGTTTTAAATAGGTACCTGGACAGTTAATTCAACATTAACTTGCACTGAATTATTCGACGGAACCATCGTTTTATCGTAGTCCTCGAGAAGGTCCTTAAATAATTTAGGCTCATTATTCTTTTTGATATTTTTCTTGAATTATGCTCGACTTCTAAGGCTGCCTCAATGCTACTGGTGTGTGAATGGGGATCACACTCGTTGGTTCTTCAAGACAACGCCATAGTTATAAGGTGATTTATCATGTGTGAACGTACTTCAGGCTACGAAGCAGCTTTAATTTCGTGGAGCGCCATATCTGTCTCAATGTTCAACTGAATTTGAAAGTGCGAACATCTCTCACACTCGAGTTTCAACCACATATATTCTTCAAGTGGGCGGAGGTGGTGTAGTGGCAAGTAGCGCACTATCTCACACGCTCGGTCACTGGTTCGAACCCTGGCTCGATGCCCACGTAGGCTGACCAAGCCTTTCATACCTCCGGGATCGGTATATTGGTACCAGACTCGTCTGGGAGGATAAAGCACTGACTTGTACATCGGCTGGTCACCGCAAGTATGTATGGACCACATACGCACTCATTACACCACTACGATTCTGAATGGAAGTCGAGGGCGGAGGCGCATCCCTCAGACGGGTTGATTAACGCCAGAAACCTTATCCTTTTTATTTATATTCTTCAGGTTAAAACCCTTTTCTACCCCGCCCTCCAAGACGTTTTTGAATAGTTATGAATTTTTGCTAATAGCCCAAATGCAAACATCTCTCACACCCGAGATTCAACCACATAGATTCTTTAACCCACATTCTTGAAACAACTGCAAACTTTCAAAGTCTATATCTTTCATATCTTGCAGCAGTTTGGTCCCAAGCACGTAGGGTCTAAATCTTGATAGAATATTTCTATATAGCTAAAAGAAATGCGTGGGAAACAGACACGAATGGGTATAGAAGTTTGGTAGGGACATATAGAGGTAGTCTGGTGCAAAAACATTGCTGTAGCCAAAAGATATCACAAAAGTTACAAGACAGTGAGAAGGTACTTTCACAGGAGAACAGATGGCATGATTCCTCCTGACTTCTAAGATTATCGAAGGCATTCTTCCCATATTACAATTTCCTCTATAATACTCCCGAACCTCTCGAGAAATTATAGGGAAAAGACCCGCTCTTCTTCATATCCTCCTTCAAATTCGTTTGTATATTCCATTGCTAATCTATCCTCTAGTTAGTTAATCCTCCAATTTCCGAGCCACATAATCCACATCTGGGCTATGTTGGAAATTACTTTCAGTCTATTACCTTGTTGACGGCGTTTCGACCAAATTGCGTCCCTCGTGGGGGGATCAAAATTCTACATCCATGGCATTAATGCGTACGGTAAGGAAACCACCAGTAGTTGCGGGAATTCTGCCAAAACCAAACATAATCCTGCTTCACAGCCAAAAGTTTTTTTCTTGGGAAACGTACCACATAAACTAGTGCTGAACTGCACCAAAAAGCAACTAAAAGAAAGCAGGTATTGTTTGAGGGCCGTGTTAAATTTCAAGCTTAATTTCGACCAGATTCAGCAGTGGGGGATCCCGCAACTGCTAGGGCTCCCAAACTTCCCAAACTCTCTTCTACACTTATCGACTACGTAAACAGCTGACGCGGTGAAAAAGTAGGGAAATGATTGACACCTCTACTCATAAAATATAAGGTAACATTTGGAAACAGCCTACCCCTTTTATTTTCATACGCGACCTCATATTTTCTCATGCAGACGTGACGACCCTTGGGTTCAGAACTCACTAGACGAAAGCTATTCTGCCAGATCTACCCGGGAGACACCCACGCTATGACACTGTTTCCTGCCGCAAGCCGCAAAAGTTCCATGCCAGGCTTAGCCGTTTCCAAAAACGAAGCCCACTTACTCCATCCGAAGACGAAGCCCTTCACTTACTCCAAATCGTCATCTATTTTGAAGGAAGGTTATTTTTTATTTTAGAATTTTAAAGGTAGAAGGCCATAATTGTGCTCGGCTACAATTATAACGTTAATGCGATTTTTGGTAACACTTGGCATAGAGAGTAAGATCGACAGATGATGAGCGCCTCTTAAAGAAGACCCTTGAACGCTCACAGAGGCATTGCTGGTGGTGTTCTTTGGTCATTGAGTGGGACTTCTATTGGACCAAGCATTCTGCCCACAAAAAAGTGAATATTGTGGCCTGCAATTGCCTCTGAGGCTTGCGGTGACCAGAGTATGTCTCTCGGTGCAGAAAGCCAGTTTCCCACTCACACAGTTTGTGTTGACGACCTTCCTCGCGAATTCATTCCTTCAGTCGAAGGCTACGTCAGTCCAAGGAAAACTCATGGAAATCCTTTTTAAAGGGAAAATCGTAGTGGCATTAACGAGGTGTTTAAAAAATTTCCAAACAACGATTTTCCTCCCTCCACCCACCCCTCCTCCTTACTAGATAATAAGCCTCATGCAGTACTGAATCTAAGGAGAAAGTGAATAAACAACATAGCTGTTTGTAAATAAGAGAACTGGAAGATAAGGCATCGACTAAGTAGTTTTTGATACTTCTTGGACCTCCTTCAAATATGCAGAAAAAAGGAACAAGCGAAAGGAAAGTCGGAATTGTCAACGAAAACGATGAAGCCGCGCATTCAGCATCCCCACTGAAAGGTTAGGAGGAGCCTAGCTTACACTATAAATCATTGGATTCAAGAGAGTAGGCCTAAATTATTCTACGGAATTGACTCCCTTTCAATAATTCTGGGGAACCTTTTGAAATCTGCTTCGAAACTTTCGTCTGGTTCTTTTTTTTTCCTTCCGTCCATCGCTGGGGAGCAAAGGGAGTGAAAGGGTTTGTGTTTGTCACAAAGTAATGAAATTACTGCCGAACATCTCCGATGTCATCATGGCGGCTGCTGCACTGAGAACATCTGGAAGAGTATCTGGACGTTGACGCAGGTGTAGCATTAAGCCAAAACTCGAATCCTCAAAAACTTGAACTCTGCTCCGCTCAAGGTAAAGAAGTTATACGACCGATCAGACTCGTTCAAGGACATTTTCATAAGGCCTATGTCGTGACTTGAGGAGTCCAAGTCATACAGGCTGCATTAACTAGTTCAGTGGACAAGGCCTTGAAGATCTGGGTAAATAGTTTTTGGAAATCTCCCATTGCCCATTAACCACAATACTTCCTCCGTCCTACACCAGCACAAGTGAGAAGCATAAAAAAAGGGATTCACTAGAAAACTTACTCGCAATATACTCTTTCGTTGATTTGCGTTGTACTCGCAAGATGGTTCGGCAAGTATCGCATTCCCAGAAACGACTAACATAAATAGTAGATCATGCAGCATGACATGCACGCTGAAAACACCTAGAACGACTTGTCAGCAAACAAACTATAAACGGCCAGCGAGTAATACGACGTATACGACAATGAAAATTCGAATAATCGAAAGGTGAGAATCGAAGAAGTGAGTTTATGAAATCAAAGAACGTTCAACTGTAAGGGCTTTGAACGAAGGAAATGGAGCTGGAAAGAAGTTTCCATTCGACAGGATCGATTCCGAAACAAAAGCGAAAAAGAATAGTAGAAAAGTCGTTGCTACAATTCATATAAAGGTAAGATTACAATGAATAAGCAAAAACCTTTCAGGAAAAGTCCAAAGTTGAGCTGAAACCAAGAGATAGGCAGAGCTTCATTCCGTTGATATCATAGGTGGGGGTCTTCGATTCAGAAGTGATTCAACGGCCGAGTAAAAGTTGTATCAACGTCAGCATCACATGCCAACTTCCTCAATTTCCTCAAAATTTAAATAGAATCCAAAACAATGGGAACGGAAGCCAAATGTAAAGTAGTAAGAATCAGAGGCGAGAGTAAAGTTCTGAAATGGAGATATCTACTATTCATCAATGAAAAAGGGCAAAACTCCTCGAAGTTGTGAACATAACCTTATAAAGCAGAAATATGATGGCCATTTATAGAATTGATTATATTCATTAGGAATGACTGGACCATAAAAGCCCAGGAAAGGAAAATAGACCATATTGGAGCATGAACACAAATGTGGATTCCCGTCATTTGAACTGACCCTCTCTCATATGGTATGTATATAATAAGCTGACCAGCTGAAGTAAAAGTCGGCGCACAGCTGCCTCGTTAAGGTATTTTAATAGGGTTATGCATTAAAATATGTGATAATGAGGCTGAATGACAATTCCCAGAATTCTTTGGGCATAGTTGGTCCCCAGTGATCGACTACCCAAAGGAAGTTCCCTGTTGCCTACGAAGGAGCAGACTATCCCTCAATTCCATTGTCTGCTGGAAAGATAATTAGTTCATGCGAAACCGTTTTTTATGCTTTTTGGATTTGCGGCGAAAATGAACCCTCCCGCAAGGAACAATGGTCAAGGGCTTTTAATACGAATTCCCCTAGATGAGGCTAACAATGGGATCGGTGATGGAGCGCCTTCCATTCGCAGACCCTCTCAACAGCCCGTCATTAAGAAAAAAAGTGATCACTACAAGCATCCAGCAGTTTTTCCTTCAAATAGGGTTCAGATTTGTAGTTTTTCGAGAATTAGCTTTCAATCATAGACATTAAGGAGAAAGAGTGAGTACGAACAAATTCCATACTGGTGTCTTCGAATAGTCAGAAAGTAATTCAAAAAACACAAAATACAAAATACAACAAATCAAAAAATACGAAATACAAAATACCAATGTCACCAAAAACCAGCGTCTCCTTTATTGTGCTACAACTCTCAAAACGTTACTCTAACCCAAAAAATTCCTTGCTCATCTAATGCCACGGGGAAGGGAGGTGGCGGTCAGCCGATTAGGTCATGAATGTTGAAGCACATTCGTAACTCTGATGAGAAACTTTTTGGAGGATTGTTTAAGTGATCATCCTGGCTAAAATAATCGCTTTAGAAATTGCATTTGTTGGTTTACCTTATGGTGACGAGAAAGGCAGTCAGAACTCCCATTGTTGGGCCAACTCTTTGGCCTTTTCGATAATCTTCATCGAAGGCCCAATTCTAGTCTAAAGTCCAAGAAATGCTCCGTAAACCGCTGGATGACCGTTGTTTCCATGGACGGAATGAAGGGCAAAAATGAAAAAAAAGTACATAAGTTATACGACGACATTCGCCCGTCACACCAAGATGTGAAAAACTATGGTGGTCCTATCCATGATGCGGAAATGGTAAGAGATCATCCGCGATAGATAAACACCTACGTACATAAGTTGTTTAGCATGGTATTTCCTGCGGAAATCGAGTACTCCCGAAGGTTTCCCGGTAAAACCTTAATGTTACATGAAAATATGATCGCATCAATTACATCCCTTCACTAACGTGAAAGTTCGAGACCTAAGACCGCCAATGCTGAACTGCCGTAGAGCATGGCTTTGGACTGTAGCACGAGAAGTGAATTGCTTCAATGTATCACAGAGAGATAGTAAGCGAAGTTATGTGAAAGGCTCAATGAACTAGCATAACGAGAGAAGCTTTCGCGGGACACTGTGAACAAAGTTCGGGACGGGAGCTTCTGGTGAAAGTCTGTTTTCGGATTTATTTCAAATGATCCCTCTTGTAAATACGACTGTACATACTTAAGATATGAGGCATTACGATAAAAAACTCAACGCAGAAGATTGCTATGAAAAAACCTCTACCTGCTGATTTGAGGAAATAGTTGAACGTATGAAACTTTTGAAATTACCAGGGTTAGAGATCCCAGGACGTCACGTAGAAGCCTTGGGGATCTTTGAACACCATTGGTCGATATCTCACCATTTAGGGAACCTTATAGGGCACTGATTATAAAATTTCCCACGAAATAACCAAAACCAAGTGTATCAGGGGATAGTATCTGTTGTGATGAGATGGAAAGGAAGAACAAGTGTCGCGAACCTATCAGAAAGCTTATCGGTGAAAACAAGGCTTTGTTGGGTAGGGCTGTGATTGCAGAGGTTCTATTTCAGATAGGAACGTTCCCCAAGCATGGGTAATTTGCTGGGATCTTTGGCCTAACCAATGGGCTCCCATTTTGACCAAGCAGATTCCACATATATGAAGGGCGATACGCCGTGGTAAATGCACCAGTAAAAACCACAAGATGGCGCATAATGTGTCATAATGGCTAACCATAGTGGATGGTGCCGGTTCGGGTGTTGTACGAAGCCGTTCCGTACGTAGTTGTATTGGCACCCTTGTGACAACAACCCTCAAGTGTGAAGTCAACAAATCGAAAACATACGAGGGAAATGAAAAGGATAGTAACTGCATTGAAATACGTTCATCACAACACGTAAGGTTTCCTGTAGGTAAGAAGCAAAAAAGGGTGAAAATATCAAAAGTTGATAGATTTCGTCGACCAAATCTAGCTTCGGCTTGATACCACAAATCGCTCATCATCGTAAGAAATTTTACTTTTTAAATTGAGTTTGTATATCACGTTGACCTTGAAGCTGTCCTCGAATTTTCAATTATTGCATTATTGAACCGATAGAGAACCGCTTTGTCAGGTGGAGGAAAAATAAGAAATAAAAGACGTAAAGTCCACATTGTTTTCTTTTTGATTTTTCTAAAGCGATTCCGGGCTAAGAGTAAAGAAGTGATAAAATATGTTAGCTTTGCTTCAAACACCTATCGAGTGTGAAAGTGTTTTGGCGAACTGGTTAGGCACAAAATAGTGGCATAGGACAATAATGGAAAGAGCAACAAGCAACCTACGTCTGTGTGCGTGTGCCTTTTCGGTCGGCTAATGAGAAAGTCGTGAATCATAAAAAAGCTATCAAAACACGATAATCCAACCTTCGACTTCGACAAAGCAACGCATTGCTCCTTTTCATGAGTTAAATTACTTCGCTCATAGTACGTACACAAGTACGAACCCCATCACTTTCATCGCATTCCTCCAAGAATA